ACGGAGTTGTTATCACATGTGTGGGCCAGGCTGGTCCTCGAACTCCTGAACCTCAGGGTGATTCACCACTCCTCGGCCTCCCAGAAGGCGCTTCGCCCAAGGGTGGGGATTGGGGATTATAGACATGAGCCACCTATGCCTGCCTTGATTAGCCATTCTTTTATTCCTTTACTCTTTTACTCTCTCTCTCTTTTTTTTTTTTTTTTTTTGTGAGACGGTTAGTCTCGCTCTGTCCCGCCACGGCCTGGAGTGCGGTTGGCACTAATCGGCTGACTGCAAAGCTCTGCCCTGTGGTTTCCGCCATTCCTCCTGCCTTGGCCTCCAAGTATAGCTGGGGACTGACAGGAAGCCGCCACCACGCCCAATATTTGTAATTTTTAGTAAAGACGGGGTTTCACCATGTTAGCCAGGAAATGGTCTTCGATCGTCCGCTGACCTTGTGATCCAACCTGCCTCAAGCCTCCAAAGTGCTGGATTACAGCGTGAGCCCACACCGCGCCCAGCCCTCTTTACTCTCTCTTATAAACTTGCTTTTGCTTTGCCACTGTGGAACTCTTACTCCTGAAATTGTTTCCTTGAGTGAGGATTGCAAGAACCTCTCTTGGGGTTTGATCAACCCCTTTCCCTGTAACAGCTTCACAGAGTTTTGAATCCAGGCAATGACTAAAGCTCTCGGTCATTACCTATACATTGGGAAAAGAACCAGACCAGCTTTGAGGAGAGGATTAAGTAAGATTGCTGTTTATGAAGGCCTTGGCCTGTGACTGTCATCATGGGAAAGGGGTTAGCTACTTTAAAATAGAGCGGGCCTCGCAGTGCTACTTACACAACCAAACACCTCTTCGGGGGAGAAAAGACGCTGCAACACGGAAAATGAGACAGAGGGAAGGGAGGCAGGCCACAGCTACAGGGTGAAAGACACATTTTTAGGGAACCCACTAAGTGACTCTTTGAAGCCTGATTTTGTATTTTAAAAAATGTAACCAGGTGGGGTGTGATGGCTCATGCCTGTAATCCCAATACATCAGGAGGCCAAGGTGGGAGGATCTCTTGAGGCCAGGAATTTGAGACCAGCCTGGGCAACATAGTGAGACTCCTGTCTTTACAAAAAAAAAAAAAAAAAAAGCAGGGCACAGTGGCATGCACCTGTAGAGTCCCAGCTACCTGGGAGGCTGGGGCCAGAGCATGGCTTGAGCCCAGGAGTTTGAGGCTGCAGTGAGCTATGATGATGTCACTGCGGTCCAGCCTGGGTGAAAGAGCGAGACTCCATCTCAAAAAAAAAAA